TTATATATATATATACTTTTATGATTATTTTATTTGTATTCGATAACATCAAGCTCGTTATAAAATTTAAAAACCTTTTTCTCATTGCTCATAGTTTTTTATGATATTAGAAGTGACAAGCAATGTTTTTTTTTTTTTAATTTTTCAGGATTTCATTACGTGCCTGTCTATAATGTGCAGAGGAACACTGCAAGAGAAGCTGGAATGGGCTTTTAAATTGTACGATATCAACGGGGATGGTAGAATTACTAAAAAAGAACTGACGGACATCGTGTGTTCAGTTTATGCTCTTATGGGACGAAAGTCTTATTCACACGTTGAAGACAAAGCCTTACGAGAACATGTCAATAAAACATTCGAGGTTCGTACTTTTATTTGTTCTCCAAAGAATAAAAGGAAACACTGGTTTTCTTTCTTTAAATAAAGTTATTTGTAAATTTTATTTTTAAATAGAGTAAAAATCAGAAGTGGTGTAAAAATGTGCAACCGGTGCAAAAATGTTTTAATTTCTTTGATTCTTTAATCATTAAGATTAAATATTTACACCAAATAAAATATTTTTCTCAAATTTTAAGATAACGACATTCAAATTCAATTATTTTTTTAGCAATTAAATTATAATTATTTCTCAAAGAATTTCTCTGACTCATGTATGCAATCATATCAAGCCTATAAACTGCGTAAAAAAGTATGATCGAAAAACTACCAGAATATTGTAACATTTCTTGCTCTATGAGATCACTTAATAACTCCATAAATTTTATCGAAGCACTTTGGTTACGATTTTGGTAAAATTAATAATAAAATATAATTTTATAATGTGTGAAAAAACTTGGTAAATGCAGTAAAATTTGGTAATACATAGAGTTTTGCTTAAGAACCAATTAATCGCTTAAATTTACTGTTCAGTTATGCATTTTTTTGTTAAATCTGTATAAAAACTACAATTTTGAAAACCGGAATTAACGGTAACCGTTAACATAAGAACGGAATGGTTAAGAACCGTACGAAAGTACCAAATGATTAGTTTAAATACCGTATATTTAGCTTTTTAATACCAGAATTATGTTGGTTTTTTTTTCAGCTGAAGTGTCACTATTATGCAATATATAAATTTTATCAGAATTTTTTACCAGAGGCTGAATGCTCAAAAATATTCCCTGGTTTTACTACACCTTTTCAGTTAAGTTTTTGCATATTAATAATAAATCAATGAAATTTTTATTTAAAAAAATATTTTGCTTTTTTTGTGTGTTTATATTCTCTTATCTTTAACTTAAAATTGCAGGGAACAAAATTAAAAAAATATGAATCGTCTTTATGGTCTCATTATAAGTTTATCACAAGGGTAAATATTATTTGCTCAAGTAACGTAACAGTCTATTAAATCCATCTGCAACATTTTAATTTTAAAGTTATTTAACGTAAGACGTTAGAAGGTAAAAAATAAAGAATTATTTAATGTAGAATGAGCAATCATTCAATCACGAACAAAACTCTACGTATCATATATCTCATTTTGACGCATGGAATGGCACCTGAATGGCATGAATAGCATAAATGACTCTGATTAAGATCATCATTGTATAAATATACACTGAGTTACATTAATGGAAGGACACACTTTGAGTTTTCTTATATATTTGTTTTAAAATTTCTCAATAAATACTTAAATTATTATTTTATAACTTTAGCGATGTTTAGTACATGCGATATTTCATTCTTCGCAACAAGTTTTAAAGCTTTCAGAGGTTTAGGAGACCGATGAAAAAATACGAAGAAACAAAAGATCTATGTAATGAATATTTGATGAATGCAATAGCACCCTTTGACTTATATGACTCTGATTAAGATTATCATTGTATAAATATACACTACGTTACAAAAATGGAAGGAGATAGTTTGAGTGTTTTATATATTTTCTAAAATTTCTCATCAAATACTTAAACTATTATTTTATAACTTTAGAGATGCTTAGTACATGCGATATTTCATACTTCGCAACAAGTTTTAAAGCTTACAGAGGTTTAGGAGACCGATAAAAAAATACGAAAAAACAAGTATTTTTGAGCACCCTATGCCTAAAAATCAAGTAATAAACTTGTAATTATATTGATTACTTTAGTTGTTATTTTTTTTAAAACTGCACAAAATTAAAATTTCGTAAACCTAGTGTAAATGTTTATGGAAATATAATCATTAAAAAAATATATATATGCTATGCGTTGATTTTTTTCCCCGCTATAACTTTATAAATAGTCAATGGAATCAAGCAAGATTTTTAATACCCTAAAGAATTAGAAACTTTCAAACTAGTGCTCCTAAAAGGATCATTCATAAAACAACGAATTAAACGGAAAGGAAATTAATTAATTAACATTTCTTTTGCAAAGTACAATATGTTTATTTTTGACGAAGCTCCTATCTTTGAATTCAATTTATTTTCTACATGAATATGAATTATTTCAAATGAGAATGATAATTAATAAAAATATTTCATTTTCAATTATTAATATTTTCATTCTTCGGTATCTTTATAAAGATATTAACATTGAAACGAATACAATAGGGCGTTAGTTACAATGGTTTATTTTCTCGTTCATAACTACCATTATTTTATTAATAATAATTCTAGGTTGTAGTTATCTAAAACTGAAATATTTAGCTGCAGCGTAACTTGAAAGTGTTTGATTGCGTGACTCTTGAATATGTAATTACAATATCATTTTGAATTAGTAATTATATAGTAAGTGGCTAAAGCAATTATAATATATAATATATATTATTATAATAGAAACTAAGCAAAAATGCTATTTTGCACTCGTTTATTAATTATATTACCGTTCACACCTAACGTATAAGGAAAAAAATTATAAGTATTCATTATAAGAGGAAAGTAACTTATAATTTCAATAATTAAATATTTGGAAACTATTACGATAACAATTTGATGATTAAAATATGATATTAGAATGAGTAAAGTTATTATTAGGATACAATCAAAAGTAATAATGATAAATTTAGAATAAATGTATACAAAACTTCTTGAAATAAAATTAGTTTGTCAATCAAACATACACGCAGCACAGATAGACTATTAATATGAATTCAAACAAAATCGAAGTGAATAGAAGTTAAATAATGTAAAATTATTTTATACAATAGACAGATTCACGTAAACCTCATGAGAATTTAATTATCTTTATTATACAACTAAATATATACACGCATTTTAATGATAATTTATATTAGCAGTTTGTGAAATCAAGCCGACAAAAAAATACAAAATAATCGATTACAATCAATATTTTTCAGCTAACAGTAAGGAAAATTGGTACTTACATAGCAGTGGCCAGTTTGTCAATTAAATCTGGCAAGTAGCACTCGTATTTCTTCATGTAAACCAGTAGTTATTTTGGTCGCCAAATTGTCAATATCTTGAATCTGCACAATTGTTCGTCTTTGAGCCGTGGTGGCTCAGGGGATAGAGCGTGCGCTTTCCAATGAGGTGAACCGGGTTCAAATCCCAGCAATGGCTGGTCGATACAAATGTCACACCAGGTCCTCACCTACCACAGTGTTGACGTAAAATATCATAAATGGTAGACATATTATGGGTTAGAGTCCCCTTGGGCTTATCGTGGGAGGTTTTCACGGTTTCAATCTCCGTGTAACGCAAATGCGGGTTGATTCCATGATAAAATTCTCCACAAAGGCAAATTTCACCCAATACTTGATCCAGGAGATCTCTTGTCTTCTGGATTAGATTCAAATTTACAAGGCTACGGAGTTGAGCATTGGTAGTCGTAAACTCAAAATTGGGTCGGCTGCTCAACGACGGTTATATGTGTATGTAAAAAATTATTCGCCTTTTAACTTCTAATAATGGTCCAAAAGCATTTTTTATGTGCGTAAAACATGCCCTAACATCATTTTACACAAGAGTTCATGTTTGTTGTTTATTGAGTAATATTTAGAAAAAACGTCTTATGAAGAAGTGTTGAAATTTAAATAATACAAAAACAACTCGTCTAAGAAAAAATGGGAATATTATTTATTTTTTTAACCGTACGTTGTTAATTTTTACAGGTTTAATGCTTGTTAATTTTTACTTTTCAAAGATTTGTAACAAGCAATTAATTAGATTAAAAAAATATTTCTTTCGGCGAATTCATGACGTATAGAAGAAAAATTCAGAGTGTCTAATTTTGGTTAAATTTTTTCACAACAGATGGCTATGTGGACAGTAAATGTATAAATCAAAAGAACATAATTAAAAATTAGACTACAACGTGTCAACTTTATTGTGATCGAGTTGCAGTTCATCAAAGATATTCTAATGTGATTATCGTTCTTTAAAGGACTTTGAACATTTGCAATGTGATTTTCAATTTTTTTTCCTCTGATTTATGCATTTACTTTTCGCAGCTTCTTACATATAAATTCACTACAAAAATTGTTCTTTTAACCCTAACAGTTTTCTTATTTTTTAAGTTGAAGTGAAAACTTAAGTTCGGTAATTTACCAAGCTTTTTGGTGTTCCGATAATGCTTGGTGCTTTGGTAATGATTTTTTTTCAAAATAAACAAAGAAATATGCTTTTGAAATAGGTGATAAATCTTCTTAAATGTGGTAAAATTTGGTATTTTTATCATGATACCTTAGAGTATGACATTAATATATTTGGTAAAATTTATTTTTCAGTTCTGTATTTATTTACTAAAAGAGTGATATTAAAACTATAATTTTGATAACCAAGATTTTGGGTAAACTATTACCATATAAACCAAAAAATTATCAAATGAATAGTTAAAATAAGAAAAAAAATGAATAAATATTTTTTACTCAAAATGTCATCAGAATGTATCCGTATGCATTTTGATGATTTTGTCAAAAAAATTTAAAAATTGTTTAATAGTTTTATTTTTGTGTTTAGTAACGAAAGTTTTGTTATAATAATTTTAGCGATTTTTCAAAATTATTTCAATTATAATTTTGATGCTAAATTACAGCAATTAGTTCTAGATTTGACTATTAATAGGATAAGATTTTCACTTATTTATTCTAAATAAGACTCATTTAAAATTTTCTAACTTTCAATGATAATTACATAAGTAAATATATTTTTTCTAAATACGTTTGAATTTTTTTAAAAAAAAAGAAACATTATATTCATTTTCCAGCAAATTAATTAAAACCATCTGTGAAGCATAATGCGTTCCTTAAGCGTAACTTTTAATTCCATTAAGATAAACAACGTATTGCAAAGACTAAAATGTGCAAACTGCTTGATGACAAAAAGTCTGAGTAACTTCGAAACAACTTTTGTATTAATGATCATATTTTCATACGCTTAATTTA